ACCCCAACCAGAAGCCATGGATTACAGGAAACATCCGCACTGAGCTAAAGGGTAGAGCTGCCGCTTTCAAGGAACGGGACTCTAACCCGGACGCTTATAAGAAATCCCGCTATGACCTCCGACGAACCATCAAACAGGCAAAGAGTCAATACAGGTCTAAGATTGAATCATACTACACTGGCTCTGACGCTCGTCGGATGTGGCAGGGCTTGAAAACTATTACAGACTACAAAGGGAAGCACAGCCGCGAGCTGCCCAGTGACACAAGCCTACCAGACGAGCTAAACCACTTCTATGCTCGCTTCGAGGCAAGCAACACTGAAGCATGCATGAGAGCACCAGCTGTTCCGGACGACTATGTGATCACGCTCTCCGTAGCCGATGTGAGTAAGACTTTTAAGCAGGTCAACATTCACAAGGCCGCAGGGCCAGACGGATTACCAGGACGTGTACTCCGAGCATGTGCTGACCAACTGGCAAGTGTCTTCACTGACATTTTCAACATGTCCCTGACTGAGTCTGTAATACCAACATGTTTCAAGCAGACCACCATAGTCCCCGTGCCCAAGAACTCTAAGATAACCTGCCTAAATGACTACCGACCCGTGGCACTGACGTCTGTAGCCATGAAGTGCTTTGAAAGACTGGTCATGGCTCACATCAACAGCATAATCCCAGAAACCCTAGACCCACTCCAATTTGCATACCGCCCCAACAGATCCACAGATGATGCAATCTCTATCGCACTCCACACTGCCCTTTCCCACCTGGACAAGAGGAACACCTACGTGAGAATGCTATTCATTGACTACAGCTCAGCATTCAACACCATAGTGCCCTCAAAGCTCATCACTAAGCTAAGGATCCTGGGACTAAACACCTCCCTCTGCAACTGGATCCTGGACTTCCTGACGGGCCGCCCCCAGGTGGTAAGGGTAGGTAACAACACATCTGCCACACTGATCCTCAACACGGGGGCCCCTCAGGGGTGCGTGCTCAGTCCCCTCCTGTACTCTCTGTTCACCCATGACTGCATGGCCAGGCACGACTCCAACACCATCATTAAGTTTGCCGACGACACAACAGTGGTAGGCCTGATCACCGACAACGATGAGACAGCCTATAGGGAGGAGGTCAGAGATCTGGCCGTGTGGTGCCAGGACAACAACCTCTCCCTCAACGTGACCAAGACAAAGGAGATGATTGTGGACTACAGGAAAAAAAAGAGGACTGAGCACGCCCCCATTCTCATCGACGGGGCTGTAGTGGAACAGGTTGAGAGCTTCAAGTTCCTTGGTGTCCACATCACCAACGAACTATCATGGTCCAAACACACCAAGACAGTCGTGAAGAGGGCACGACAAAGCCTATTCCCCCTCAGGAGACTAAAAAGATTTGGCATGGGTCCTCAGATCCTCAAAAAATTCTACAGCTGCACCATCGAGAGCATCCTGACTGGTTGCATCACCGCCTGGTATGGCAACTGCTTGGCCTCTGACCGCAAGGCACTACAGAGGGTAGTGCGTACGGCCCAGTACATCACAGGGGCAAAGCTCCCTGCCATCCAGGACCTCTATACCAGGCGGTGTCAGAGGAAGGCCCTCAAAATTGTCAAAGACTCCAGTCACCCTAGTCATAGACTGTTCTCTCTGCTACCGCACGGCAAGCGGTACCGGAGTGCCAAGTCTAGGTCCAAAAGACTTCTCAACAGCTTCTACCCCCAAGCCATAAGACTCCTGAACAGCTAATCATGGCTACCCGGACTATTTGCACTGCCCCCCCACCCCATACTTTTTACGCTGCTGCTACTCTGTTAAGTATTTATGCATAGTCACTTTAACTCTACCCACATGTACATATTACCTTGACTATGCAACGGTACCCCCCTGTATATATAGCCTCCCTACTGTCACTTTATTCTATTGTATATATAGCCTCCCTACTGTCACTTTATTTTTACTTCTGCTCTTTTTTTCTCAACACTTTTTTGTTGTTGTTTTATTCTTACTTTTTTGTTTAAAATAAATGCACTGTTGGTTAAGGGCTGTAAGTAAGCATTTCACTGTAATGTCTGCACCTGTTGTATTCGGCGCATGTGACCAATAAAATTTGATTTGATTTGATTTGATACATATTCATCACATTGAGCTATGAGAAACATTCTCCCTAGGTGGAAAGCTGGGTTGTATTCATTAGTCAGCAAGCTGTAGAAAGCGGACTGAAACAGGCAGCGACTACCTGAACTTGTCCAATAGCAAACACTAGTTTTCATTTTCTGTTGCTAAACGTTTTGCTTTGATGTACCTGTGCCGTAATGAATACAACCCAGGATTTCACACTGCTAACTTCACTGAACTTGGCTGCCAAGCTACAATGCAATGAAAAAGTAATGTAGCGTAAAAGGGTTGCCAGAGATTACTGTTATCACACCTCTCAATAAGACTGTTCTTTTTCTCTACAGTGAAAGAAGGCATGAAGACAGCATCCTAGTCAACAGTCATGGCTGATAAAAGGAAACTTCAAGGTGAGGTTATCAAATGGTCGACCTGATGGTACCCCTGCCAATGATCCACAACTGAGTCCATCACTGTATTCCCTCCCTTTTCTCTATAAAGCATGTCTATCCAACAGATGAAATTTCACTTTTAATTTCTTTATCCATTCATGATGTAGAGATTGTCGAATTGTCCTGCACGGATGTGATCGCAATAAGAGAAGTGCTGCACTGTATTACTGAAAAGTGTTGTGATGCCAAAAATAAGAAGCCAGAAGCAACATTTAGGAGCAAGGCTGCATAAGGCCAAAGTCAGACTTAGTCTGCAGAGACAACCTTCTTAAATTAAGACTAAATACCGCACCCCTTTGCCAGTGCCCGTGGCGTTGCATTTTTAAACATGTTTGCAGTGACACATTTAGGTTTTACTGCATGTATCTTTGATAAGGCTGCCAGCCACAGTTGTAAAAGCAGTGCTGCTTATGGGGAGAGGGAGAGCTCCGCATTTGGACTTTACATTATTCATCCTGATGTGATGCGTGTTGAAGGATTTTTTAAAGCCACGGTTCTCTTTCCCAAACCTCCCTGTTATTCTATGCCCTTCCCCAGGTGAAATAGATCGATGTTTGAAAAAAGTAACGGAAGGCGTGGAACAGTTTGAAGACATTTGGCAAAAGGTAACATGCAGGGAGGGTGGTGGATCATACAGTCTGAATTCAAAATGGATCAAATGTATTTTTTTTCTCACCCATCTACACACAGTACCCCATAATGGCAAAGTGAAAACATGTTTTTTTGCAAATTTATTGAAAATGAAATACAGAAATATCTAATTTACATAAGTATTCACACGCCTTAGTCAATACTTTGTAGAACCACCATTGTCAGCGATTACAGCTGTGAGTCTTTCTGGGTAAGTCTCTTAAGAGCTTTCCACACCTGGATTGTGCAACATTTGCCCATTATTCTTTTTCAAAATTCTTCAAGTGCTGTCAAATCGGTTGTTAAAATCAAATAAAATTGTATTTGTCACATACAAATATTGCAGGTGTAGCGAAATGCTTGTGCTTCTAGCTCCGACAGTGCAGTAATATCTAACAAGTAATATCTAACAATTTCATAACATATACCCAATACACATAAATCTAAGTAAGGAATGGAATTTAAGAATATATACATATATGGACAAGCAATGACAGAGCGGCATGGACTAAGATACAGTAGAATATTATAGAATACAGTATATACATATGAGATGAGTAGTGCAAGATATGTAAACATTATTAAAGTGACTAGTGTTCAATTTCTTAAAGTGGCCAGTGATTTCAATAGGCAGCAGCAGCCATCTACCAATAGGTGCCCTAATTTGCGAGGCATTGGAAAACCTCTGAGGTTTGTGGATGAATCTGTGCTTGAAATTCACTATTTGACTGAGGGATCTTACAGATAATTTTATGTGTGGGATACAGAGATGAGGTAGTCAGAAATCTTGTTAAACACTATTATTGCACATAGTAAGTCCATGCAACTTGTTGTGACTTGTTAATTTTGACTCCTGAACTTATTTAGGCTTGCCATAACAAAGGGGTTGAATACTTATTGACTCAAGACATTTAAGCTTTTCATTTTTTATGAATTTGTAAAAAATTATGGGGTATTGTGTGTAGGCCAATTTAATCCTTTTTAAATTCAGGCTGTAACACAACAAAATGTGGAAAAAGGGGTGTGAATACTTTCTGAAGGCACTGTATGTAGGTTAAGTGCTACCACCCCAACACTTTGGTTGTTGGAACGTTTTGTGCTGACTTTAGAAAGGTCCACCAAATTATTAAACGTTTAACATCCGTTGTATATGCAGGGGTCTTAAATACAGCATCACGCTTTGTTTGTTGTGGTTGTAGCCTTTGCTTTTCACGGCCGTGGGGATAGAAAGGAAACCTATTGTTAGTGTGTTCTGTACAGCAAAAGAAGAACACGGTTTAAAGCCACACTCCTGAGTTTGTGTTTCGGCCCAATGGCACTTGGTTTGGTGTAAAGTTGCGGGATGATGAAACTGGAGGGAATGTAGGCTAATCACTCAAATCCAGAGGCTGAGCTATGGTTGCTAGGGCTGACAGTCCATGACACACTAGTTTTAGACATATTTTGAAGCTATAGGCTACATTATTTACTTTGTTTACAAAGACTATACAAAACATGTTTGGGGAAAGATACTGATTGTCTGTTGTGTCTACTCTGTATGACTGTACTCCTCCAAACCACAGCTTCACAATGCAGCCAACGCTAACCAGAAGGAGAAGTATGAAGCAGACCTCAAGAAAGAGATTAAAAAACTACAGGTGGGAAACAGACAACCCTATGACTCTTAACTGTTATGTGGCTTGAGGGCACATGGTTTTGGGATGTTCCTCAAATGTTTGTTTACTAGTGTTATATAGTTAAGCCTAACCCCAGGTGTGTGTGTGTACGTGCGTGCTTGAGGGAATATATGTGTTGATGATTAAATATGAGGGTCAGCTATCCTTAAAACCAAGTGAAAGTATCTGTATTCGCACTCTGTGTTTGTTTTTGAACATATTCATGTGTTACCATGTGGACCAAACTTAACACAAGCCAAGCTTGCTTACGTGTGTGCGTGTGTCAACCTACTTGACTTCAGGGCAAGCCACTGCATGCTTTCACTAAGAGAACTTATCTCTTTCTTTCTCGATTTGTTCTTCTCCTCCTTCATCCCCCAGCGTCTTCGAGACCAGATCAAGACGTGGGTGGCCTCCAACGAGATTAAAGACAAAAGGCAGCTAGTGGAGAATCGCAAACTCATTGAGACGGTGAGTGTGTGGAACACGTTCATTAGCCGCGTACTGACGAAACCCTTGGTATAAACACCTGTGTTTAGCAGGGCTTACAAAGCCACATAGTGCACTGAGGTTATTCAGACAGCTTCAACGACAGCACCTGCTAACACAATGACATGGATGTGTCATCTTAGCCTCTGTATCTTAATAGGGTTTTTATCTAGGGTCTATCTAAGTGTGAGCATCTGTGTGGTTTTGGTTGACCTGAAATGTGGTGCTACTAAGCCAAAAATACATGGGGTGATGGTGAAAAAGATACTTGGATAGCAAGACTCTTGATGCGACTTTTGTATTGTGGTGATTGGCCAATACAAATTCAGACACAAACAATGGTGACTTTTGATATTACCTTTTGTGTGTATTCATGTCAAAGCCATGTTATCAGATCTCTGTTAGCAGTAAGGTTTATATCAGGTGTAGGCAACTAGATTCAGCCGCAGGCAAATGGTCTGTGGGCTGGAACATAATTATAATAATTTGTACACTGCAAATTGACCACAACTAAGCCCAAAAATATTTTATTTGAAAATAACTATTTCATACCTTGATGACGTTAAGACATGATGACATTTATTACATTTTTTTGTGGGAATATAGATTTCGTAAATGAAACATTTTTGCTTTGGGGGCCAAATAAAAATCGAACCCGGGTCTGTAGTGACGCTTCAAGCACTGCGATGCAGTGCCTTAGACCGCTGTGCCACTCGGGAGGTGTCCCTGATCTGTACTACGCAGAAAAGCATAATTATGGATATTCTCCTCATGTTTCACACGTTTGGACATCGCAGCACAGTACAGTACAATGCTCATTTGGACAACGCATATTACTACCCTTACTGTGGCAGCTGACTTCTAGGGCAGTGCATTGAAACAGCAGCACAGAGCTGTTGTGAAGGAAGTTGTCAAGTTGAGTTTGTGTTTATACAGGACCTCCGGCACCCACCGTCAACCAATCATGACAATGCAGAGCTATACGGATTCCTCCACATTGTTACAAAATGTGGGAGCTCAAAATGGTATGGAGCTCAATTTGGCCTCTGCATGCCTCCGGAGGCTCCATTTTTGGATCAAGCATAAATTGGCTTTTAGGCTCTGCTGCGTGTGGAAGTCAGAGGTTGTGGAGCCTCTACTGAGATCACCTAGTGGAGTGTAGCCAGCATTACTGGTCCAGAAAGCACACACAGGTGTCAAAACTTAGTAATCACTGGCCTGATTGGGAGTTCTGTACACCTGCCGCAGTCATCCTGAAGCGTTATATTGGAGGATGGCTTTAATTGGTGAGGACTCTGTGTCAGTCTCCACCAACAGTGCCCAGCAGGCACACGTTCAGTAGGTCTGAAACGGTGAGGTATTATCTGAACTTGACCAATTAAAAAAATGCTCCCTTTTCATTTTCCATTGAATAACATTTTGAAACGTTTTGCAATGGTGGATCCTAATGCCCTAACACGACCCTGCTTTGATTGCCAACTAGTCCAATGCTTTGACATGAGCAGTTGGAAACGTCAGCTTTCACAAGCCAAAAGTTTTTTGGTCAAAGAGAACCTGTAGTGATTTATAAACCAATTCCTGCTGTCTCCCCCTTTAGCAAATGGAGCGGTTCAAGGTCGTGGAGCGAGAGACCAAGACAAAGGCGTACTCGAAAGAGGGGCTGGGCCTGGCACAGAAGGTGGACCCGGCCCAAAGGGAGAAAGAGGAGGTCGGCAATTGGCTAACGGTGAGCGCTACTTTTGATTGAAAACTTTTACCCCAAAGGGAATTTGTTTCACACAACATGAACACATTTCTATTGGCAATAATGTGGTCTGATGACATGACAATAATGACTTAGGGATTTCATCATGCATGCTAGGCCTATTCATTGCAGTGCACTGTGTTTTCAAAGTAGATTGGAAATAATTTGCAGTATCATACATTTTATTCCATGGCAAAAATGAAAACACGAAGCAGATGGAACTCTTTGGTCCTTTAAAAACCTGCTGTATGTAAAATATTGTGTGCTTTTCCAACATTAGGGCTGTTTTCTAAATTTAAATCTGCTTTGTGTTTTGTTTCCTTGCCACGATACTAACGTGTATTGCGATACTGGTATCGTCCCAGCCCTAATAATTTCACCTATGAAACAGGTTATTATGCAGTGTGGTCCATACAGACTGTGGTTGTGGTATGATTATGACTGTTGTGTCGGTGTAAATCACGAATGACCTCTGTCGCCAATCAGAATACAATAGACACACTGAACATGCAGGTGGACCAGTTTGAGAGCGAAGTGGAGTCCCTCTCAGTCCAGACTCGCAAGAAGAAGGGAGACAAAGAGGTCAGTAGTCCTTTTGTTATCGACCTTCCTCTCCTCCACCTCTCCCTGTTTCCTTCCGTACTTCCTGAATCTTTTCTCTTTTAGATGCGGTCATTCTAACTCTAAATTAATCTCTCATCCTATGTCTCTTTATTTTCTCGGCCCGCTGCATTACCCAATGCACCTAATGTCAAGTAGGTACCATCTACTTTACCATCTGTTTTCCACTTCCATGCCTCTACACATACATACATATATATATATATAGTACATTGAGATTGTTAGCCCAAACATACACTTTGAGTTTTAAGCATAAACTTACACACGCGTTTCGTCTCTGCTATAGAAACAGGACCGCATCGAAGAGCTGAAACGCTTCATCGAGAAGCACCGGTACCACATCCGAATGCTGGAGACGATCTTGCGCATGCTGGACAACGACACCTTGCCCGTGGACTCCATCCGCAAGATCAAGGACGACGTGGAGTACTACATGGACTCGTCGCAAGACCCCGACTTTGAGGAGAACGAGTTCCTCTACGACGACCTGGATCTGGAGGAACTCCGTAAGTGCTGCTTCATCGTGGTGTTGTCGCGATACTCAGTATCACGCTACTGATACGACAAAGTATCATGACAAGGAAACATAACATGAAGCAGACTGAATTTCCTGAGGAAACCGTCCTGATGTTGGAAACAGTCACCCAAAGTCACATTTGTTTATTTTCCACACTATAGCACACATTATTTTACCTCAAGCCGGTTCTTAAAGAACCATGGAGTATCGGAAGTATCAATACTGTGTCGAGACATCACTACTTGTGTGTTTATTCCTGAATATGCGTTTGTACTGCATGTCTTAGACCGCATGTGGAGTATGTATAGTCTCAAATGGATGATGGCAACAAATTAGGGGGTAGATCAGCTTTAATATTGGAGATAGATTGTGGCTTCCAGCAATGTAATTGTCTGCATAGCTTGGTTATTACAATACTGTACATTCTATCATTTCTGTTCCTGCTGTCTCTGTATAACTGCCCACTTAACTTTTTCCATATGCAACTTTTTGTTTTTATGTAGCTACCTCTCCCTCTGTCTCCCCCCATCCATCTCTTGTCTCTCTAGCCGGGTCGCTGGTGGCCACGTCCCCACCGGGCCAATCGCTCCTGGACGACGACATCTTCCATCAGATCTCCAGCGGCACGCCTACCTCCACCACTTCCTCCTCGCCCATCCCTCCCTCGCCTGCCACTTACACTACGGTGAGGAAACCCTCCGCTGGTTCTGGCTGCTTCTCACTCTACAGTCTCCATTGTATCCCCTACTTGCTCTCCCATTCTTTAGAACCACCCACTCTCATTCTGTACTGTTACAGTATAGTAATTAGGTCTTGTGAATGTTGAATGCTCCTGGGTTGGAGTGGGTGCTCGGTGGTCCCTCGCTCTCAGATCAGAGGGTTTGGAGCAACGAGGATGAAAGCGAGAGGATTATGATGTTGACGTTTGATTGAAGTTTGTATTGAGCCTCAATGTGAACGGCACTTGAATTAATTTTGGTACAAAACATAGGGTTTGCACGCGACGCATGTTTTGTGTTGAATTAGAACAGATTGACATGGCTCGGTGCTTATTGGAGGTCTTTTGTTTTTTCCCCCAGGAGAACTCTGAAGATGACAAGAAAAGGGGACGTTCGACCGACAGTGAAGTCGGTCAGGTAAGATGACTTACAATGTTAACAGTGCTGTGTATGCGTCACTTGCATTGATTTGGGTCTATGGTCTTTAAACATTTTGCAACTTTCCATCTATACATTCTCAGCTGTGCTGCACCAGGAGTGGTTTTGAAGTAATGTATTTTATTCCATTTCAGTCGCCTGTCAAGAACGGCAACCCCTCTTCGTCGTTATCCTCCTCGTCCTCCTCCTCGTCCTCCTCTTCATCCTCTGCCTCCTCGGGAGCCTCCTCATCCTTGCTGGCCTCTATGGCGACCATCGCCGGGGGTGGCATGCCTATCACTGGGGGCAACAACAACAGCCTCCTGGGCAACATGGGGGGTCTCCTCTCCAACTCTGGCAGCTACAGCAACGCTACCCAGCAGCATCACCAAACCCAGCAGGCCAGAAACTCGGTCATCTCCTCCAACGCCCCCTCCAACTCGTCGAACAACATCCTCCTCCCCAGCCCCTCCGCCTCCTCACCCGCATCCTCTAGCACAACCCTCCCCCCACTCACGCCCAACACCCAGCTGCAGGCTCCGTCAAGGCCTTTGCCGTCCTCCAGCTTGGGGCTTGGGTTGGGCTTGGGCCTTGGTAAAGGCGGCATTACAGGGTCACCGGCCGTCAGCCAGATGTCGGGTCTTGGCTTGTCGGGGATGCCGGCATCCCTAAACACCATGGCCGGGCTCCTGGCGGGCTCCACTTCGGCCCCCTACGCCACGGCAGCAGCAGGCTCCGGAACCATCGGAAGCCCTCTAGCAGGGAAAATCGTCAACGTCAGCAGTAGCAGCCTTAACTCCAGCACAGTGGGACCGGTGGGCGGGAACACCGTCGGCGACAGATCCACGGGCCTGTTGGGCTCTGCACCCAGTGCAATTGGTGTCAGCGGTGGGATCCTCAGCCTAAGCAGCCTTGGCTCAGGGCAGTCGGCGGTCCAGGGCCCTTCCCTGGTGGCCCCCAGTCCCATAGGAGGCCTGGCCCCTGGAAGCAGCCTGGGAGCCATAGGAAGCATTGGAGGGAACTCTGGTTCAGGCGCGCCAAGCAGCAGTGTGGGCATGGGAGGAGGCAGCGCAGCGATCGCAAGGCCGCCCAGTGGACAGAAGCAGAATGGTAGCACTAGTAAGCTTGAATTACTATCCGCTTATATTGTGTGTTGTTGATGGGTTTTATCCATCCATGCCATTATTTGGTTTGTTCCATAGTAGTTGTTCAACCCAGCATTGGGTTGTACAGATTATAAGGTAGAGCAAACCAAATGTATATCATTTCTGTGTATTATCAGAGTTCCGTTTGTTTGTAAGCCTCCCTCTCGATGTCCCAGGTTACAGTGCTGTAGTAGCAGACAGCACACCCGATTCCGCCCTCAACAATACCAGCCAATTACAAAGCAGCCAACCCTCGTCTTTGACCTGCACCACCAATCAGCCGTGAGTCAAATATAATAAAAATGTCCTATAGTATCTTGGATTGTGAACCTCACTGTACAAAGTGTATGGTCAGAATTAGTCAAACTCACTTAAAAAGCACATCAACCAATGTCTCTCCTCTCTCCCACCTTCCCAGTAAAGACAGTGGCCCCAGCCTCTTAGGGTCCATGACTCTTCCCACCAGCTCTCCCTCGTCTTCCTACAGCGAGAGTAAACCTTCAGGCGGCAGTATGCTCAACGGGCCACTCTCCTACACACAGACCTCTGAAAGCATGAAGGTGAGAAACACAAGTAGCTTCATGTAATAATTGCCCTGGCCTTAGACATAGCTCTAGGATCAACCCCAAATACTAACCTGAGCCATTACGGGGAGAACTTCTTGGGACTGAACCGAAGCCAGATTTCCTGATCTCTCACCCAGTTGGTTTAACCTCTTTCCTCTCCTTCAGCCCCAGGAGCCTCTGAGCACTCTAAAGTCTATGGCAGAACGAGCGGCACTGGGCTTAGGAATGGAGGGAGAGATGCCCCCTCTGCACCTCACCACAGGTGAGCAACCGACTGGACGTAAAGGCTCAATTGGGCCATGGGGATCAGTCTTGGAATGAGACCAGTTTGTATTTGTTAGGGATGCCCATTAGCTGCTGCCTTCCTGGGGTCCAACAAAAGGAAGGCAGTTACAGTGGGCGAAAAAAGTATTAGTCAGCCACCAATTGTGCAAGTTCTCCCACTTAGAGAGAGAGGCCTGTAATTTTCATCATAGGTACACGTCAACTATGACAGACAAATTGAGAAAAAAAAATCCTGGAAATCACATTTGTAGGATTTTTTATGAATTTATTTGCAAATTATGGTGGAAAATAAGTATTTGGTCACCTACAAACAAGCAAGATTTCTGGCTCCCACAGACCTGTAACTTCTTCTTTAAGAGGCTCCTCTGTCCTCCACTCGTTACCTGTATTAATGGCACCTGTTTGAACTTGTTATCAGTATAAAAGACAACTGTCCACAACCTCAAACAGTCACACTCCAAACTCCACTATGGCCAAGACCAAAGAGCTGTCAAAGGACACCAGAAACAAAATTGTAGACCTGCACCAGGCTGGGAAGACTGAATCTGCAATAGGTAAGCAGCTTGGTTTGAAGAAATCAACTGTGGGAGCAATTATTAGGAAATGGAAGACATACAAGACCACTGATAATCTCCCTCGATCTGGGGCTCCACGCAAGATCTCACCCTGTGGGGTCAAAATGATCACAAGAACGGTGAGCAAAAATCCCAGAACCACACGGGGGGACCTAGTGAATGACCTGCAGAGAGCTGGGACCAAAGTAACAAAGCCTACCATCAGTAACACACTACGCCGCCAGGGACTCAAATCCTGCAGTGCCAGACGTGTCCCCCTGCTTAAGCCAGTACATGTCCAGGCCCGTCTGAAGTTAGCTAGAGTGCATTTGGATGATCCGGAAGAGGATTGGGAGAATGTCAGATGAAACCAAAATATAACTTTTTGGTAAAAACTCAACTCGTCGTGTTTGGAGGACAAAGAATGCTGAGTTGCATCCAAAGAACACCATACCTACTGTGAAGCATGGGGGTGGAAACATCATGCTTTGGGGCTGTTTTTCTGCAAAGGGACCAGGACGACTGATCCGTGTAAAGGAAAGAATGAATGGGGCCATGTATCGTGAGATTTTGAGTGAAAACCTCCTTCCATCAGCAAGGGCATTGAAGATGAAACGTGGCTGGGTCTTTCAGCATGACAATGATCCCAAACACACCGCCCGGGCAACGAAGGAGTGGCTTGGTAAGAAGCATTTCAAGGTCCTGGAGTGGCCTAGCCAGTCTCCAGATCTCAACCCCATAGAAAATCTTTGGAGGGAGTTGACAGTCCGTGTTGCCCAGCGACAGCCCCAAAACATCACTGCTCTAGAGGAGATCTGCATGGAGGAATGGGCCAAAATACCAGCAACAGTGTGTGAAAACCTTGTGAAGACTTACAGAAAACGTTTGACCTGTGTCATTGCCAACAAAAGGTGTATAACAAAGTATTGAGAAACTTTTGTTATTGACCAAATACTTATTTTCCACCATAATTTGCAAATAAATTCATAAAAAATCCTACAATGTGATTTTCTGGATTTTTTTCTTCTCATTTTGTCTGTCATAGTTGACGTGTATCTGTGATGAAAATTACAGGCCTCTCATCTTTTTAAGTGGGAGAACTTGCACAATTGGTGGCTGACTAAATACTTTTCTCCCCCACTGTATATGCAGTGTTGTTGGGGGGGGGAGCTTTCACACCAGACCCTCCTTTTTTCTAACTCTATCTTGTCTCTCTGTGGCTTCAGACATTTTCCCCAGCACTACATTGCCTCCGGGGCCTCCCTCGGCCCCCCAGCAGCCCTCGCTCTCGGAGGTCAGCATCCCCCCATCGCTGGGCGTGTGCCCGCTCGGGCCTGTGCCCCTGTCCAAAGACCAGCTGTACCAGCAGGCCATGCAGGAGTCGGCCTGGACACACATGCCCCACCCCTCCGACTCTGAGAGGATCAGGTATGAACAAAGCCGCAATCTAAAGCCACAAATGGTCTCCGGGGTTGAATCTCAAAAGTCTTCTCACTTCCCTCTCACATTTTGGCAAAGAGCGAGGACATGAGGTATCAAGGAAAATAGTTTTGAGATTCACCCCAGGTCTCCATTTGGGATTTCTTTATAATTTCTGTGCACTGTTGCTTTTGACACTAAAGGTGTGTAGAAATTTTTTTTCTTCCAGGATTACGCAATGTATTAATCCCCTATTGTGACTGTTTTGGTCCTCCAGGCAGTACCTGATGAGGAACCCATGCCCCACCCTGCCTTTCCACCACCAGGTGCCGCCCCCCCACTCCGACTCTGTAGAGTTCTACCAGAGACTTTCCACAGAGACACTGTTCTTCATCTTCTACTACCTAGAGGTGTGCGTGCGTTTGACAAAACAAGCTTTATTGTGTGACTGAGACGCTGATCATTTCCATGGTTTTACTTTTGATGAGGAAGATGGCGGTCTGCATTGTTTCAATCTTCAGGCCAAGCCATGTCATGTTTTGGATATGATTGTGCATTTAATAGTAACAGATTCCCTTCTGCGTTATTTCCACAGGGCACTAAGGCCCAGTATCTGGCAGCCAAGGCCTTGAAGAAGCAGTCGTGGCGATTCCACACCAAGTACATGATGTGGTTCCAGAGGCACGAGGAGCCCAAGACCATCACAGATGAGTTTGAGCAGGTGAATTCGGCACCCCTCCACACACAGCAGACTCCTTGGACTGCAACCTGGGTCGTGTTCATTGGACACCAAATGGAAGAAAACGGATTGAAACAGGGAGAGATTACCTTGACTTGTCCAATAATAAACGCTTACTTTCATTTTTCGTTGCAAAACGTTTTAAAATGTTATCCATTGCATGCTCCATTAAAATAATGTTTCTGTAGATTAACCCATATTGGAAGATTTGTCAAATGTATTTTTTTTTTTGGGGGGGGGGGTTTGTCTGTTACATTTGTGATTTATTTACTTTTGCTCTGGCCACTGACATTACTGTGCTTTTTCCAATGTCTTTTAAAGGGGACGTACATTTACTTTGACTATGAGAAGTGGGGCCAGCGGAAGAAGGAAGGATTCACGTTTGAGTACAGGTACCTTGAAGACCGAGACCTCCAGTGACATAAGGCAGAGGAGGAGAATAAAAGAAGGGTGGACTACTGTCAACATTCCTGGATTGAACTCAACACACTGGGAAGAGGGACGGATGCAGACGCCAGACTGAGCCAGTCTTAGCAGAGCGTAATGCATTTGGAGCTCCTCTCTCTTTGCCCTGCGAAGCCACACTCACTTCAGTGATCAAACCCTCCCTCTTTTCCCATCAGGCTGTTTTGATTTAGATTGAAGCTTTTAATCTCTTACCTGAACTGGATCCCCTTTTTTTCCCATATAATGTTTGGTTGATAACGCACTCTGTATTATTTTTTTCTTTTCTTTTTTAAACTCACCTACCACTCATTTGAGAGAACCAAAGATGATTGGTCGAATCTGTTTTAATTCCCAGCAGTATAGCAGTTCAATTAAAAATGGTGACAAGGCACAGCGAGAGGCCAATCAAATGAGCACTTGGGGGATGGTGGGTCAGAGGGGGGCGGATCCAAAGCCTAAAGCATTTCACAGCAGTCAGAGGCCATCGCTGGGTTGTACACAAGCTAAAGACTAGAGGGGGTGAAGGTAGCACTTCCATGTTACAATAAGGGCTTATTGGAGTGACTCCATGGTTTTTAACCCTAATGAATGCTCTCTTCATGGTCACCAGCCCCACCCTAATGTTAAACTAATAGCTGCCTCTTGGGTACACCCAGCATTGACCAGACTGCCATAAAGACTGCTATAATAAAATATGGTAACCCAGCCCTCCTCCATTCATTCCTATCCCAAGTTACAACATTACGTTTATATTGCTGTGGTCACCAGCAACAGACACCACACCAGCACTGAAGCGTCTCGTCTGTAGAGTATGTTTACAGGTGTTTTAACCCGAGAGGTGGGCTTTAACAATAAAACTTGACCGCCCAAGTAATAACAATTCATTTTTTTTGTTCCCGCCACTTTGATAATAATGTACAAATCAGTTGTGATTGTACTTCCAAATTCACTTCAACCACCAGGTAGATATTTCCTTTTCTCAGGAAGTGTTTGATGGATCGTTGTGTGAGGAAATATACCAGGTCAGAAGCTCCATTGCAGCACAAAAACCCCACAGAAATCAGACTGACACCGCGGGCAATTTTTTGTCCGCCCTATTAAGGCTTTATATCCCCCTTTAATGCCCATATGTTTCATTTCAGGCTTTAAAAAAATATCCTCCAATGTTTGGAGTGCAATCTTAAGTTTTCGTTTGCCTGTATATGTCATCTCAGAGATGGAAAGCATTTCAATCCTAAAAAGTGTGACCCAGTTTTTTTTTAAGAAAATAACTTGTCGGGGCACCATTCACTGACAAGCCTGCTGTTTTTAATGTTACCTTTACCTATTTGGCAAGCGGAAGGGAAGAGAAGTCATCCAGAGGCGAAATGTGAATCTCTCCCCTCTGAAAGGGTGTTGTATAGACTTTGATTTGATAGACCTTTTTGTTTGTTGTCTTCTAGACAGCATGATCAATGACACTTGCAAAGTGGAGCTGAGAAAATTAAATATGAAGCATAACCATGAATAAAGGATTGTAAAATATTAATAAAATAATTACTTTTCAGAAGCAATGTTGTTTTTTAATCAAATTCATAAACCTTTTGGTGCATCTTAAAGCAGACAGGTATAATGCATAATTACTTGTTATAATAGGACTACAGTAATACAGTTCCTTTTGTCTTACAATACACATTTTTAGGACCACACATAGTTGGTCCAATAGGTGTACTGAATGCTACATGGGATTTACATTTACCACATGCAAATATTACAGGGGCAATCTGTAATTCAAACAATAACAAAGCGCTCTATACGCCACTTTTTGGTCCACAGCTGACGGATGGAGACACAGAAACCATTCTCAAATTCATAGACCGAGCTATAGATGCATGGACTGACCATCCATGAGATGAAATGTATACAGTGAGGGAAAAAAGTATTTGATCCCCTGCTGATTTTGTACGTTTGCCCACTGACAAATAAATTATCAGTGTATAATTTTAATGATAGGTTTATTTGAACAGTGAGAGACAGAATAACAACAAAAAAATCCAGAAAAACGCATGTCAAAAATGTTATAAATTGATTTGCATTTTAATGAGGGAAATAAGTATTTGACCCCCTCTCAATCAGAAAGATTTCTGGCACCCAGGTGTCTTTTATACAGGTAACGAGCTGAGATTAGGAGCACACTCTTAAAGGGAGTGCTCCTAATCTCAGCTTGTTACCTGTATAAAGGACACCTGTCCACAGAAGCAATCAATCAATCAGATTCCAAACTCTCCACCATGGCCAAGACCAAAGTGCTCTCCATGGATGTCAGGGACAAGATTGTAGACCTACACAAGACTGGAATGGGCTACAAGACCATCGCCAAGCAGCTTGGTGAGAAGGTGACAACAGTTGGTGCGATTATTCGCAAATGGAAGAAACACAAAAGAACTGTCAATCTCCCTCGGCCTGGGGCTCCATGCAAGATCTCACCTCGTGGAGTTGCAATGATCATGAGAACAGTGAGGAATCAGCCCAGAACTACACGGGAGGATCTTGTCAATGATCTCAAGGTAGCTGGGATCATAGTCACCAAGAAAACAATTGGTAACACACTACGCCGTGAAGGACTGAAATCCTGCAGCGCCCGCAAGGTCCCCCTGCTCAAGAAAGCACTTATACAGGGCCGTCTGAAGTTTGTCAATGAACATCTGAATGATTCAGAGGAGAACTGGGTGAAAGTGTTGTGGTCAGATGAGACCAAAATCGAGCTCTTTGGCATCCACTCAACTCGCCGTGTTTGGAGGAGGAGGAATGCTGCCTATGACCCCAAGAACACCATCCCCACCATCAAACATGGAGGTGGAAACATTATGCTTTGGGGGTATTTCTCTGCTAAGGGGACAGGACAACTTCACCGCATCAAAGGGACGATGGACGGGGCCATGTACCGTCAAATCTTGGGTGAGAACCTCCTTCCCTCAGCCAGGGCATTGAAAATGGGTCGTGGATGGGTATTCCAGCATGACAATGCCTCAAAACACAAGGCCAAGGCAACAAAGGAGTGGCTCAAGAAGAAGCACATTAAGGTCCTGGAGTGGCCTAGCCAGTCTCTAGACCTTAATCCCATAGAAAATCTGTGGAGGGAGCTGAAGGTTCGAGTTGCCAAACGTCAGCCTCGAAACCTTAATGACTTGGAGAAGATCTGCAAAGAGGAGTGGAACAAAATCCTTCCTGAGATGTGTGCAAACCTGGTGGCCAACTACAAGAAACGTCTGACCTCGGTGATTGCCAATAAGGGTTTTGCCACCAAGTACTAAGTCATGTTTTGCAGAGGGGTCAAATACTTATTTCCCTCATTAAAATGCTAATCAATTTATAACATTTTTGACATGCGTTTTTCTGGATTTTTTTGTTGTTATTCTGTCTCTCACTGTTCAAATAAACCTACCATTAAAATTATAGACTGATCATGTCTTTGTCAGGGGGCAAACGTACAAAAACAGCAGGGGATCAAATACTTTTTTCCCTCACTGTAGTTTTAACCATGTTTTAAGGCTAGTATTCGGAAAGTATTCATACCCCTTCCCTTTTTCCAAAATGTGTTACATTACAGCCTTACTCTAAAATGGATTTAAAGAATAATAATCCTCATCAATCTACACCCAATACCCCATAACGACAAAGCAAAAACAGATTTTTTTAAAGAAATTTTAGCATATTTATTAAAAATAAAAAAGATACCTTATTTACATAAGTATTCAGACTCGTTGCTATGAGACTCGAAATTGAGCTCAGGTGCATCCTGTTTCCATTGATCATCCTTGAGATGTTTCTACAACTTGATTGGAGTCCACCTGTGGTAAAGTCAATTGATTGGACATGATTTGGAAAGGCACACACCTGTCTATATAAGGTCCCAAGGTTGACAGTGCATGTCAGAAAAAAAACCAAGCCATGAGGTCGAAGGAATTGTGGCCTCCGTCATTCTTAAATCGAATAAGTTTGGAATCACCAAGACTCTTCCTAGAGCTGGCCGCCCGGCCAAACTGAGCAATCGGTGGGGAAGGGCCTTGGTCAGGGAGGTGACCAAGAACCCGATGGTCACTGACAGAGCTCCAGAGTTCCTGTGTGGAGATGGGAGAACCTTCCAGAAGGACAACCATCTCTGCAGCACTCCACCAATCAGGCCTTTATGGTAGAGTGGCCAGATGGAAGCCACTCCTCAGTAAAAGGCACATGACAGCCCACTTGGAGTTTGCCAAAAGGTACCTAAGGACTCTCAGACCATGAGAAACAAGATTCTCTGGACTGATGAAACCAAACTCTTTGGCCTGAATGCTGTGGGGATGTTAGTCAGGATTGAGGGAAAGATGAACAGAGCAAAGTACAGAGAGATACTTGATGAAAACCTGCTCCAGAGCACTCAGGACCTCAGACTGGGGCGAAGGTTCACCTTCCAACAGGACAACGACCGTAAGCACAAAGCCAAGACAACACAGGAGTGGCTTCGGGACAAGTCTCTGAATGTCCTTGAGTGGCCCAGCCAGAGCCCGGACTTGAACACGATCGAACATCTCTGGAGAGACCGGAAAATAGTTGTGCAGCGACGCTCCCCATCCAATCTGACAGAGCTTGAGAGGATCTGCAGAGAAGAATGGGAGAAACTCCCCAAATACAGGTGTGCCAAGTTTGGAACGTCATACCCAAGAAGACTCAAGGCTGTAATCGCTGCCAAAGGTGCATCAACAAAGTACTGAGTAAAGGTTGTAAATACTTATGTAAATATGATATTTCCGTTTTTTATTTTTAATCAATTTGCTAAAATGTCTAAACTCGTTTTTTGCTTTGTCATTATGGGGTATTGTGTGTAGATTGATGAGGTTTTTTAAAAATCCATTTTAGAATAAGGCTGTAACGTAACAACATTTGGAAAAAGTCAAGGGGTCTGAATACTTTCCGAATGCACTGTAGTGTTTGTTTACAATTACATTGTTTACAAACGTTGGAGTAAAACAAGCTTGTATTTTGGGTTCTGACAGAGTAGGACAGAACTAAACTCATGAGGCATTTTATAAATTACATTCTTCAATAATCAATGGGTAGATTGTACAAGTACAAATGTAGTAACTGCAGATTGCCACATTAAAGAGCTTGTTGTTACAGGCTTCCTGCAAGTCTTTTCATGCTGCTTATTAGTGCATATGCCATTC